AAAAAAAAAAAAAAAAAAAAAAAAAAAAAAAGAAAAGAGTAGTGACGAGTCCACGGTGGTTCTCTATATATATTTTGGGAATTGATAAAAACAATAATTCGAAGAGAAAGCATTCTATAATACGTTTGAAACCAAATTTAACGAAATAATTACGAGAACGTCCCAAGATTTACAAAACATTACTATTATCATTACAAATATATATATTATATACTATATGTATCCTTTGAGAAAAGATAAAAATCAATTGTTAGAAAACTGACTTTATACAGTATTAACTGAGTTTGACTGCTATATAAAAAAAAAATTCATATATTTTATTGCATCGTTGACCTTGAAAGCTACGAATTCGACTGAAAAAAGGAAAACGGATTAATAAATATATACGTGTTTTAGAAGAAGAAAACACGTTAATAAAAAAAATACAAAGAAATAACATATATCGATAAGATAACCGTTTCCATCAGTCTAAATCGATAGCAACCTATATATAGTTTGTGACTTATAGTGAATGAAAAAAAATACCTAAATGTAAACGGGCCTTAACGCTTTTTCCAATTCTCCTTTCTCTCCCATCACCCTCATTATCGAAGATGCATAAAAAAAAACTTTGTAAATATCACGTCATGAACATTTCAGTAATTGATAATCATGTATTAAATCCATTCATTCATCATAATAATTGAATATTATTTAATTCTCAATATAATTCGATGTTTGTTTATTTCATGTTCGTTCACCATAGTACATGTTTCACATAATGACAAGGAGAAAAAAAAATATTTGCACGCAATCAAGTTCAAATAATCATGTAACAATATCACTACTAACAACATAAGTAATAATGTTAACTATATATAAAAAAAATATATCGTGAAAAGAATGTCAGATATAGCCAAAGATTTTGTAAAAGATTATTTCTCATAATCGTTATAAAATTCTATGGCGTTACACCTGATTGAATTCAAACACGAGATATGTACAAAGAAAAAAAATATAAAGATCGATATCGAAGTAAAAATTTCTTCAAAACAAGAAGAAAATCTCTCTCTCATACATTTCCAAAATTTTGAAGCTATTCCAGTGATATACGTTTACTTGCTATATATCAGTTATATTATATAAACTATAATACGAAAATCCGAACGAATTATCGATTGTTAATGATATTTAACATAAGAAACAAACTGGTGTTGCTTGGAATTTAAGATAAAAAACATTTCGTTAAGATTAAATATTAATTGCATTATATTTCGAGCAACATCAGTTTATTAAACAGAAAATAATGTGTCACGAATAAATATATTTCCTTCAGTTAATTCTCTATACATCATAAAATGAAATAAGAACAAAAATTATTATAATTAAAAATGCATATAAAATTAAGAATAGATTAACTTTTTAAGCTTATGTTTGTTTATCGTATATACTACTTGCGAAGAAGAAAACTGAATAATTTGATGATTAATTTAATGTTATAGTACTTGATTTAAATTAATTAAATTAAATGTTTATTATATTAATGTAAATTTAATATAACATTAAATTAACATGTGAGAAAGAAAAAAAAGATCGATGACATCACTGTTTCTTATATAATTAATTTTCATTTTTGGATCCCGTAAATGGATCGTTAAAAGACTCGATGCCAGAATACGATCGCCGATTAAAGTATCTAGTCCAAAAAGCAAAATACTACATATTATATATTAAGTCACTCGAAATAATAACATATACGTACAACTTTGCCGATAAAGTCGATGATTATAATAAAATTTATTATAATAAATATATAACGTGTTGATATAAAATTATATTCTATTTGACTTAAAAAGTACATGCACTAAACAATAGGTCAAATATTGAATATCGATCTGAACTGCTTTTGTCTTTATACTTTTTAAAATGACTAAAAATATTTATATATACCATTCAATTGTAATGTAGAAAATGATATCCATGAAACGCTGAAATAATATTACAAAGATTTATTCTAGTGATAGTTCACAGAATCGCGAATGTAAAATAGCGATTTGATATTATCTGATGATTATCTTGATAGTTTGATAGTTCATGGCACCGCTTATAACAGCGTTTCAGTCGGCAAAGTGGTACACATTGATTCACACGTGCAATCTAGAAAAACAGTCGTTAATATACATAAAATCGATCATTACAAATAATATAGAAAATGTAGAATAGAGATGTGTAAGTGTAGTTGTAATGTAGAACAAATTCATAGATATATCATTCCAATCTTCTCCTGGATCCCAATGTTGAAATCTTTCTCTAGATTCGAAATTGGGATTTGGTTTTCTTATCGTGCGCGAATGGCGCTTAAGATACATGATCGCTAACACTTAACCAAACTTGGTTCTATCATTTGTTCAGGACCAATTATCATAAACGATTATCAATAGCATGTTCAAATCATGTTATTATTGCAGCATTGTACTTAAAATCTTTAATGAGAAAATAAAGGGGGTTTACTGTTAAAAAAAAAAAAAAAAAAAGGGGGTTTTGTGTTAAAAAAAAAAAAAGGGGGTTTTGTGTTAAAAAAAAAAAAAGGGGGTTTTGTGTTAAAAAAAAAAAAAGGGGGTTTTGTGTTAAAAAAAAAAAAAGGGGGTTTTGTGTTAAAAAAAAAAAAAGGGGGTTTTGTGTTAAAAAAAAAAAAAGGGGGTTTTGTGTTAAAAAAAAAAAAAGGGGGTTTTGTGTTAAAAAAAAAAAAAGGGGGTTTTGTGTTAAAAAAAAAAAAAGGGGGTTTTGTGTTAAAAAAAAAAAAAAAAAAAAGCGCCGTGAGCCCGGCATCGATCGAGAAGTTACGATGTATATGCGAAGAACGAATGTTATTTTTTTTTTTCTTTCTTTTTATTTGACAAATTGTATTATGTAAATTTATTTTGTTTAATTTTTACATACAAATGTTAAGTGAAATGTAAAATTGAAAAAATATGGATACAATAACTTTATTTAAACAAATTATAATTGAAGTTCTATATAAGATGAAAAAATATACTGAAATATAATGTTATTTTTTAACTCACTTCTTTGAAATTATTAATATTTTTTTATTATATCTTATCTAATTGATAAATATATTAAGAATAGAAAAAATTGATTCGGAATATGATTCAAAAACTTTGAATATTTTTACGTAAACTCATTATTTTTTCGTTTTTATTCTCTTTTAATTAATATTCACATTTGGACAAATCACTCATCTGAAGTTGCAGCTAAATATGTTCATGTGGACGAATTCTCTAATTCTTCATATACATTATATCGATCTTTACTTGAAAAACTAATCGATAACTTCATTGAATAGTATTAGTCGTGACTAACCTCAAAAAGAATTGCTAAGTGAATCTTTCGGAATCAAATTAAACAAAAATGTTACCGGTATTATTGAATATAATTGAATATAATACGATTCAATGTATCATAATCATGTGAAAAACTACGGACGATGGAACGTCCGCAATATGTGATAAAGTTATAATTACTTTTCAAGATGGAAATATATGATGGAATACCGTTTTATGATTATTATCGGTGCTACCTATAACGTCTAAATAGTGCCTTTCATTGCTTTCGAAATAATTTCCGAATGTAGCGTTACTGATGTATGACAATCGATCGATGTCGTCGTTCTTGACGTAATATTAAAATAATATTGTAGATATATAACACATATTCATATACAAAGAACAGAAAAAAAAAACACAATAGGGATACCAATTATCGAAATGGCACGAATTTCTAGATAAAAATAAAATTATCAATTGGCACGTTTATTAATAAACATAACATAACCTTGCGAAAAATAATAATAATAATATTGATATTAATAATAATTAATTTAAAAAGAATGATA